AGGATTATAAATCATTCTGTTATAAAGACACATGCACATGTATGTTCATTGTAGCACTGTTTACAATAGCAAAGACTTGGAACCAACCCAAATGCCCATGGATGATAGACCGGACAAGGAAAATGTGGCACATATACACCATGGAATACTATGCAGCCATAAAAAATGATGAGTTTGTGTCCTTTATAGGGACATGGATGAATCTGGTAACCATCATTCTCAGCAAACTGACACAAGAACAGAAAATTAAACATCACATGTTCTCACTCATAGGTGGGTGTTGAGCAATGAGAACACATGGACACAGGGAGGGGAGCATCACACACTGGGGTCTGTTGGGGGAGTTAGGGGAGGGACAGCAGGGGGTGGGGAGGTTGGGGAGGTATAACATGGAGAGAAATGCCAGATATAGGTGATGGGGAATGGAGGCAGCGAACCACCTTGCCATGCAACACTCCTGCATGATTTGCACATGTGCCCCAGAACCTAAAGTACAATAAAAAAAAAAATGCAAGTCTGCTCCTTAAAACAAATGCCAAGTGCTGTTCAGCCAGCTTGCTGTGACTTTGTCACAGCAAGGGGCCTGTGAGCTGTGAAGATGGAAATCTATCCTGAGTTAGTACTTTTGTGAACATTAGGCAAACCTGGCTGAGGATGCTGGTAAAGAGGGAAGTACATCTGCTTGCCTGTCTCTTCATGCATTTGTATTGGATGACTTTTTGCTTTCTGCTGGTCAAGTTCAGAAAGCTTTCTCCTTTCCACATTACAAAGGTCTGCATTGTCTTTTGGTCCAAGGCAGTAGAACCACATATGGAAATTCAGGGCAGTCACAGCCTCTGGGTTCAGGCAACTCCAACAAAGATTTCTACTCTAAAGCTAAGAAGGAACCTTGCTCAGGTTCTGTATGTGAGGTTTCCATTGTTGCTAAAGAACTCCCAACCCCACATTGCTGTCAAAGTTCCTGTTCTCTGTTCTGCCTTCTGTATCTCCTGTTTATCCTCTCCAGGTCATCTGCCACCCTCATCATTACAGGCTAATGCATAGAACTTCTCTGCATTTTCTTCTGATCACCACAATTATAGATACAAAGCTCCTTTTAGACCCTGGGATTCTCTGTTTCTTTCCTTTTGACTCCTTGAAGTTTCCCACTTGAGGATTTGTTTCTGACACCTGAAAAGCTGAGCCTGAAAAGCTGAGTATAGGTCCTGTAGTGAGGTCTTTATCCTGGCATCAGTAACATAATGTGGCTTGCAGAGACAGGCTGTGATATATCCCTAGAGGGGTATGACCCTCATCTTTTTCTAGTTTCAGTTTCTGTTCAGTGGAAGAACTTCTTTTTAAAATATATCTTTTAGGTCACATTGATGTTAATGTAAAAATGGTCAAATCTGGGAACACTGGCTAGGATTCTGCCAATTCCTCACATCACTACCTAATCTGACCAGTGGGGGCCTTCTAGGTCAACTGATGCCTTCATCTACCTCTGAATTCTTTTGAATTGGCTAAGTTTTTAGGTCATTTTAGGTGTTGGGGGGTTGGAAAGAGAATTTATGGCAAAGGCAATTTGTGAGAACAAGAGAGCAAGATATTTGGTTGGTCTTGGGTTTAACTGATTGAACAATTTGTCTTTCTTCCTCTTCACCTCAGCAATCCGAATCTGATGTGAAAGTCATAAAGCACCTGTGTGTCAAAGCTAAACTAATACCAGAATTCATGTTATAGCCCAATAGGTTCTTGCCTGCTGCACAGAAAAGCCAATACACTGAGACAGCAGGTATTGCAGCTGAGTACGAGTTTAATAATCACAAGGCAGTCAAGTGAGGAGGATGGGAGATATTTCTCAAATCTGCCTCCCCAAGAATTTGGAGACTAGGATTGTCAATGGTTGTTTGGCAGGCAGGATGCTAGGGAATATGGGTTTCTGCTTATTTGTTGGGTTGGTGATGGAATCACAGGGGTATTGGAACTGTTTTCTTGCACTGAGTCAGTTCCCGAGTGCTGATCACCAGTCTGGGTGGTGTCAGTTGGTCTACCAGAATCTGAAAATATATTGAAAAATATTTCAAACACCAGTCTTAGGTTTCACTAACAATGTTATCTACAGAGGAAATTGGGCAAGTCACAAATCTTATTACTATTGGCTTTGTGATTCCTGAGCAGTAAGCAATTACAAAAAGGCAGGTTAGAAAACAATGATTGGTTATCATTTAATTATGCCTCAGTCTTAGTAGAATTCAGGCTCCTATGGTCTTTCATTAGTTTTATGAAGATCTTTTTGGTTCCTGAATAAAAATGAGGTTAGTTTCAGGAAGGGACTATTATTATCCTTGGTTTAAAGTTAAACTGTAATCTGAATTTTTCCCATAGTTAGCTTGGCCTATGTGCAGGAATGAGCAAAGACAGTTAGCTTGTATGATTAGAAGCAAGATGGAGTCAGTTATGTTAGATTTCTCTCACTGTTACAATTTTACAAAGGCGGTTGCAGTCACAACAGACAGGGAGTGAATATGTGGGGCCCTGGTGGAATTCTGAGGGAAGGCATACTACACATGATGGATTTTCTGATTGAAGTGCCTTAAAGGTGCTCAGGATTTCTGATAAAGACAGAAACAGACTACATTGATTCTCCAAATTAGAGAACTTTGGACCGATATAATCTCCATTATCCCTGGTGTGTAATTTTCAAAATGTTAAAAATGTAATTCTCAGACAAATAGTAATCACAGCATTAAAGGCCAGTGTTTTAATTAATTCAATAACGTGGGAACCAGCAGGATGACAAAGCTGGTTCAAAGGAGGGTAAAATAAACTAATAAATGGTCAGTGTTTTCACAAGCACTCCAGGTGATTATGATATACCCAGAAATTTGAGAACCACCGTTTTAGGGAATGTGAGCTTGGAAGTATAAAGGAATTGAATAAACGGCTTCTCTAATACCTGTGAGGTCAGGTTACTATTAGAATGCATGGCTCTGTTCTAAGCCGTATGATTAGGTACTATAATTTTCTATAACTGTTCTAGGTATTTCAGGAGCAAAGCAGGCAGAGGAAAAATTGTGTTGAAAGTTGTATTTGTTTTCCCATCTGGTTGGGCTATTAATTTAGCTATTTGAGAGATTTAAATTCTAGATAGGATAGTATTAAATGCCTGACACTAGGTGATGGCTAGTGAAGGAGTCCAGTGAGTCTGGAAGAATGCTTATAGTTTGGATGAAGTGACGTAGGAGTGTTCAGGGGTTAGGGTACAGATTCTGTCAGGGTGATGATGTAAGAGGAGACTGATGAGGAGGTGGTGGTCATAAGGCAGTGTGGTGTGTATGTGTGATAGGGAGTGAGGAAGATCTACAGGTACACAGTGATGATACATGGTAGGCATATAATAAATATTTTTTTGTAAATTAAATTGGATTGAATTGGCTTATGGTAATATAATGCTTGATTTGGCAATGATATAAGATAACTGAGATTGGCTGGGTGTGGTGGCTCATGCCTGTAATCCCAGCATTTTGGGAGGCTGAGTTGGGCAGATTACAAGTTCAGGAGTTCAAGACCAGCCTGACCAATATTGTGAAACCCCATCTCTACTAAAAATACAAAAATCAGCTGGGTGTGGTGGTGCACGCCTGTAGTCCCAGCTACTCAGGAGGCTGAGGCAGGAGAATCACTTGAACCAGGGAAGTGGAGGTTGCAATGAGCCACGCACTCTAGCCTGGGTTACAGAGTGAGACTCCATCTCAAAAAAAAAAAAAAGATAGCTGAGATCAAGTGGAGACAGAAATTCATGAAGTCTGCATTATGTTTACATGATAATGATCAGTATATATGTATATATATACACACATATACTATATATATCACATATATACACACTATATATAGATAACATATATATTATTCAGTAGATGATCCAAGTTCTGAAAAACACTTAGAGAGGCAGAAATGGTTCTTTGAGGCAGTAAACAAGGACAGCAAAAATAGATGGTGATAAATATATGGTGATAAAGATGGGTTGCATGAACTTTATTTTTTGTTCTTTTTTTGTCATTGTTTCCATCTGGCATATCAAAAATTTCAAATAAATATAAGAATTTTGCAAACTGAGCAGGTCCCAGTAGAAGGCATTTAGGTGGTATGCAATTTGTCTCTGTCATAAAGATCCTATTAAGAATGCACTTGTGCATACAACTTATTCATTTAGGTTGGTATGTTCATTCATTAAACAAATATTTATTGGGTACCTGCTTGGCACCAGGCACTCTTAGGAGTGCTGGGGATGGAGTGGAGAACATGTCAGAATGTGCTCTTGAAGCTCACATTTTGGTTTGGCAAGAGAGGTTTAAAAAAAAAGTAAACACAAAATAATATAATTTTAGGCTATGATCAATTCTGTGAAGTCAAAGCAGAGAAAAGAAAGCGTAATGGGGAAAGGAAGGGAAAGCTATTTTAAATAGGGTCATGTGGAAGCAACTTTGAAGAGATGTTTGCTCTGAGACATGAATAATGTGAAGTTTTGAGGGAAGAACATTAAGGGAGTAGGAACAGCAAGAATAAATACCCTAAGGTGGAAATATGCTTGTCAGGTTAGAGATACAGCAAGAATGCCTCTGTGGCTGGAGCAGAGTGAGTGAGCGAGCCTGTGGTAGGACATGAGGCTGGCAGAAGAGTCAGCAGCCAGGTTAGTGCCTTGTAGGCAGAAGTAAGGAGTTGAGATTATAGTCTAATGTGAAGAATTGCTTTGAAGAAGTGCCTTGACCTAAGGTTCTTAGACATAGGATTGCTCTTTTCTAATGATACGAGGTTTAAACTCTCTTTCCCTTGAGTGGTATTGTATTTTTTAAATTATAATAAATCAGAGGGAAATAAATTATTGTTGAATATATGTGACTATATATATAGATAGAGTAAATTAAAATGAGTTACACCTTTATGACTTAGCAGGCTTTGATTTACAGATAGATGTGATACATCCATATTCCCATTCTACTTATTCTGGTTTTCAGAATCAAGAAAATCTCAAATCTGGAGAATCTAAAAAGCTTAGATGTCTTGGATCTTCATGGAAATCAGGTATTGTAAAGCCCTTTCATTTCTTTCTTTTTTGAAAAAAAAATGTTCAGGAAAATGGTATAAAAGTTTTAAGAATCATACTTGCATTGAATTTTTCAAGAGTTTCTTTATTGATTCACTGAAATTTCTAAGGTATCAAGTTTATTTATGTAAGACTTGGTAACTCCTCAGCAGTAAATGACAGATACAGCTTATAAAACATTTGGAATTCTTACAGTTATGACAATTTTATTGTTTATTAACTTATTTTTAAAGTACGCATTTTCCAACCCCAATCCAAGACCTAGAATATTACTTTCTTCTACTCAGGTATTTCTTGTTTTATTCCATCTCCTTCCTTCTGCATCACAGGTAACCACTATTCTAGATTTCATGTTTTTCATTCCTTTGTGGGTTTCTCAGTTGGTGTTATCACATATAGGCGTGCCTAAATAATATATTCGTTAGTAGTATTGTCTCTTAATTTACAAAAGGTATACTATATCTTGTCATCTGGTGTTTGCTTTTTGAATACAGCATTATATTACTGAGAGTTAACTATTTTGAGTAGCTATAGTTTTATGTATAGTTGTGTGTTCCATGGTAAGACTATACAAAAACTTTTGCTCCAGTTTCTTGTTGATAGACATTTGGGTTGCTTCCTGTTTTTGTTTTTGTTCTTGTTGTCTGTTTGTTTTATCTTGTTTTTTGCTATTATGAATAGTACTTCTAGGAACTTTCTTGTACATGACTCCTCTTCTACATATTCCATCTGTATTCTAGAGTATATGGGAGTGAAACTGATGAGTCATAGGCTATTTAAATGCTTAACTTTAAAAGATAATGCCAAATTGCTTTCCAGAGGGAGTGTACCAGTTTGTACTCCTACCACTAATACATAATCATTATGCTTCTTATTCTTTTCAACATTTGGACTTGTCAGACTTTTTAATTTTTCCTGATTGAAAAAATTCTGATCGGTATAAAGTGGTATCACTTTGCGGTTTTGATTTATATTTTCCTGATTACTATATAATCTAGGGTTCCAATTATATTCAGTCAATTTGTCTACTGCCATGTCTGTCTGTCTGAATTTCTATATCTGGTTTGTTATGTTCCCTCTCTTTATTCTTCTCTGCCAGAGCATATTGGCTGTTTTTCAGTCCTTTTATCATCCATTTAAATTTTTGTTTTTGAAATGTGATGTTTATAAATAGTTAAAGAGCTACATACTCACGCAGAATGTAAAGTCTCTTCGGCAATCCTGGGATGATTCGGGAGTCCCTGCCTGTTGATGAATAAGTTCTTCCACAGCTGCTTACAGTTGGTCAAGTGCAAACCTCAGTGTGATCTCTCTAGGCTTTCTAACAGCTGTTGGTTCCAGTAGTTTTGGTGAAAAGCTAATGTAATGAATAAAAAAACCTTGATAAATCTTGATTTAATAGGCCACATCTACTAGGTTCTAATCTGGTTCCAGCCCCGTGTGTGTCTCTGTGTGCATGTAGCAAGTGGGAAGACAGTTGGTGGCCTGGGAATTGTCCGGCTCTGCAGGCTAGTTACTGTCTGTCCAATAGAGGGAAATTATCCAGTTAGATGGCGGTGGAAGGGGAAGAGGAATTAAAGAGTATTGACAGTAAAAGAATATCGTATGCAAAAGCACTGAGATAAAAAACAACACAATAAGTATTTACCACCAGAGAATAGGGCATGTGTGGAAGGATAGTGAGAGAAGAGACTAGAAAGGTAGGCAACAGCCAGATTGTGGAGGGTTTTGTATGCCAAGCAAAGGAATTGGTATTTTATCCTCTATTTTAAAAACTGTTAATAACTATAAATGAAACATTTTATGATAGCAGTATTTTTCTTCAGTTTATTTTAAAGTGTATATATAAGAAATAATAAACATATGGTTTTTAAATTCTAATATACCTTTAAGAATTTGTGAGTACTACCCAGGATCTTCAAGAGCACCTGATAAATGAATACCATATCATTTGATCTATATTTATGTGTAGGCATTAGTTACCAATCATTATGTTGATGAAAAGTGTCTATTCCTTGTTAGCTGACCTGTGTTATGTATTTTATAATTTCAACATATGTTTGTGATATTGTATATATTAAAATGAAACATTCGTACTGTAAAAATCGCTTCTCAAGGTTCTATAACTACAAGAAGGAAGTTTTAAATGCAAATCTGAGTCTTGTTTCATCATATCTGAATCCAATAAGCAAAAATTCACAGTGTTTAAAAGCAAAGACATAGTCCTAGTGACGTTAGGTTTCTAAAAGCCAGGAATAAACTATTCAAGATGAAACAACTAATGTCCAATTCTAAAAATTTAGCATCTTATAGTAAAAAAGCTCAAAGAAATTAAGTGAATGTTTTTTGTCTTTTGATTTTACTTCTATTAGAAATAAAAATATGCTTGGTACCCATTGTGAAATAAAACATAATTGGTTTATGGATGTGAAATCATTCTGAGTAATGATGGTGGTATTCAGAAAATGGATTGGGAAGTAGAGATGGAAGGAGGGGAAATGGAGACAGAATAGCTGAGAGAAACTAATCATAATAATCTTGGTGAGAGGTGATGGTGGCATGAACTAAAGTAGTGGCAATTAAGGATATAAGAGGGCAGACTGGATAAATATTTAAAAAGTAGAAACATCAAGACTTGGCAATTAATTATATGTGGGTAGTGAATACAGAGGAATCTAGGAAGTTGACTAGGAATTTCTAACCTAGATCTTATTTTGATTAACCATAATTTTTTCTCTTAGTGAATTTTTGCTTTAACATAGACACAGATGTGATTCAAGAAGAATCTGTTCTTTCAGTGATCTTTTCCTCCAGGGAGAGTCTGCTGTTTCTGTGGTTGCTTACCTGAAAGCAGACACTTGCCCTTTGTGTATTTCTAGGTAGGAAGGTTTTCTTTATCCAGGCAGAGCAGTCTGGGTTACTGTCATACACAAAGGTTAAGACTGGAGTATCCAGCTGTCCTAGATGTGTTAAGAAGTCCAGCAGTCTATATTGGGACTCTCTGTGATCCGTATGACCCATAAGTGGGCTTTCCAACATTCCCATCATCCTTTTTCTTGCTGTGAAGTATATCAGACAATCCATAACTATGTTTTCACCTTACACAACCTTTTGCCTGAGCTTCTATTATCTGCTCTATGCTTGTGACTTTGTCCATGGCTATAAAGAGTAATTGACTTTATTCCATAGCGGATGTGTACATGATTCTGACCTGTTGGGTTGCAAACCAAGAAGCCAGATAATATCCTTGGTGATTTAAAAAATATGGGTTGATACCTATATAGAAGAATTGACAATGTTCCTTTTCAGACTTTTCTATCTAGAAGGTAACTAAATGCAGACCTTCTAATTGTAAGCCCCACCAGGACCATGTGGAAGGGTAGCTTTCTAAAAGAAATGTTCAGAACTATTAGCAGAAGGGAGAAAACACACTGTGCAGATAATACAACAATTGTGTCCCTTAACTCTATACGTATATTTATATATTTCGTGAGCTCGGGAAAGTTTTCTATATTTAAACATTGCTTCTTTTCCATTTATATTTGTTATGTCTATATTGTCTTCCATATCTCCATCTTATCTTTTATTCTTCCTATCTGTTTTTCCTTAGCAGTTTGGGAGGATTTCGAAGTTCGTGTTGACATTACTGATGTCTTTTTCTACAGTTCCTATTTGCTTTTTACTGGCTTCATGCATTTTGAATTCTATCACCTGTTTAGTTTTAAAATGTTTTGCTCCATGTCTTATTATACAGTTTTATCATCTGTAAATATTCATAATCTTTTTTGTTTGTTTGTTTGTTTTTTTGAGACGGAGTTTCACTCTTGTTACCCAGGCTGGAGTGCAATGGCGCAATCTCGGCTCACCGCAACCTCTGCCTCCTGGGTTCAGGCAATTCTCCTGCCTCAGCCTCCTGAGTAGCTGGGATTACAGGCACGCACCACCATGTCCAGCTAATGTTTTGTAGTTTTAGTAGAGACGGGGTTTCACCATGTTGACCAGGATGGTCTCGATCTCTTGATCTCGTGATCCACCCGCCTCGGCCTCCCACAGTGCTGGGATTACAGGCTTGAGCCACCGCGCCCGGCCTTCATAATCTTATTTCTTCTTTTTCAACTTTTATATAATTCTATTTTACATTAGTTAGATCAAAACTCTTAGAACACATTTTAAATGTGGTCATAGGTTATGTTTATATATTATTAAATTTACAATAAACATATGTTTCTTTTCTGGAAACTAGATAGAACCTAAATAGTGTTTTTTGAATATAAGTGTCCAAGTAACAATGTGAAATATAGATTAGACATCTAATAAAAGTAATTTTAGCTAACATCTGCTTTCAAGTGTTAGAAAAAAATTTCAGATATACCGTGATGGCAATACAAATGAGCATATTAATCTCTAGTGACTGTGAAATTCATTTTAATGTTCAGAAGAAATGTGTTATGTGTATGACTCATTGTTATTTAAGTACTTATCAGGTGATGAAGTCCTTCACGAGGACCCCTATTTTGTGTCATACAGAAACTCATCCCATTGTGTTATACTTGCTCTATTGTAATAGTGGGGCTTAACATCACTTCAGCTCTCATCATTTGACAGTGTTACAGTTTTTACTTACCCTCCACTTAGTGTGCAGCCCAAACTTCTCTGCTGCAGTTTAGTGCTGATTATTATTATTTTTCACGACTGAGTCTCACACTGTCGTCCCAGGCTGGAGTTGGGGGCAAAATCTTGGCTCACTGCAACCTCCACCTCCTGGGTTCAAGCGATTCTCCTGCCTCAGACTCCTGAATAGCTGGAATTATAGGTGCGCACCACCATGCCCAGCTAACTTTTGTATTTTTAGTAGAGACCGCGGTTTCACCATGTTGGTGAGGCTGGTCTTGATCTCCTGACCTTGTGATTTATCTACCTCAGCCTCCAAAAGTGCTGGGATTACAGGCGTGAGCCACCGCACCCAGCTGATAGTTAATGGCAGCAGCAGGCCACCTGGAGTGGCTGTTGCCATCACACTGGCTGAAGCAGGGAGGCATGGCCAGGGCTACATGCTCCACGTAGCCAGCGGGAGCCCCACCCCTTCTGGGTTTGGGCAGGAGCTGCCGGGTGCTGCTGTAGCTGCCCAAGCCATGGCTGCAGACCTGGGCATCCCTATGCTGTTGGGGCCCCAAAGTAGGTGGGAGCCCCACCCTCCTGGGTACAGCTGCAGCCTCCCAAACTGCAGCTGTGGACCCAGGAAGCTCCCCCACACCTGTGCCCTGGCAACTTCCACAATGTCTGCTCGTGCTGTCTGGCTTCTCCTTGCTCTCAGTGCCTGCTCCAATCTCAGAGCAAAGATGGGGTTGAGCCTGGGTGCTGTGGTACCCTGGCCAGGTGTGCACATGCTTGGGGCAGTGCTGACACACTGGCCCCTTGCCACCTCAGCCCCTCTGGACTTTCAGTGCCAAAAAGCATAGGAGGGAAGCAGAGGAGGCCTGAGGGCAGCTAGGTAATGGACTACAGGTGCACTTTCATACCTACAGCCTGGGTGCCATGAATGGCATCAGGATGCAGACAGTTTCCTGGGTGGAAAGGGGCAGGCCTGAAAGCTGGGGGCCAAGTTGCCAGTCCCACCAACTGGAGTGAAAACTTGTGGTACCTTTTCTAGGCCTTCCCATGGCTGCCCGTGGACCAATCAGCATGCACTTCCTCTACCCTGAGGCCCATAAAAGCCCAGGACTCAGCCAGAGCTGAGCCGACATTGGGATGACCAGCTATAGAGAGGAGCAACCCACTCTAGGGCCTTCTCTCTGTTGACAGCTGCAGAGACATTGGGGCGACCATCCGCAGAGAGGAGCAACTCACTCTAGGGCCTCCTCTCTGCTGACAGCTGCGGAGATGATGGGATGATCAGTTGCAGAGAGGAGCTATCCTCTCTGCTGATAGCTGAACACTTGTCAAGATGACTTGCCTAGTAGAGAGAAGCTACCTTCTCTGTTAGGAGCTGAATATTCATTGGGACACTCTGGGTGTGGAAAGGAGCTGCTCAGCTGCTCCCTGTGGGTTTCCTGTGAGCTGTTCTATCACTTAAGAAAGCTCCTTGGGCAGGCGCGGTGGCTCACCCTATAATCTCAGCACTTGGGGAGGCTGAGGCAGGCGGATCACGAGGTCAGGAGATTGAGACTATCCTGGCTAACATGGTGAAACCCTGTCTCTACTAAATATACAAAAAATTAGCCAGGCGTGGTAGCACATGCCTGTAGTCCCAGCTACTTGGGAGGCTCAGGCAGGAGAATCACTTGAACCTGGTAGGTGGAGGTTGCAGTGAGTCAAGATTGTGTCACTGCACTCCAGCCTGGGAGACAGGGTGAGACTCCATCTCAAAAATAATAATAATAATGATAAAAAGCTTCTCTTTGTCTTGGTTACCCTCTACTTGTCTGTGTACCTTATTCTTCCTGGTTGCAGGACAAGAACTTGGGACCCACAGAATTTGCGACCCACAGAATGGCAAGGCTAAAAGAACTGTAACACAAACAGGGGTGAGACATGCCCCTTGCTCGCCATGTGGCAGGCAAAGAGAAGGAAACTGTGGCCCTTCAGGTCACCTAGGCTTGGGAGCTCCCCAAGCTGTGGCTGTGACTCCCTGTTTGGGGCCCTGAGGTTCCTGGTATATCCAAGCTTCCGGGTACCACCGTGTTCCCCAGTGCCGGCTGTGGAAGCTGCTTGCAGTGCTCCTGGTCCAGCCACAGACTCAGAGAGCTGGTGTCTGTGCCAGCATCTGGAGCTGCCCATCCTGCTGCAGCAGCCAGCATGTCTGACTGTGCACGGTGGCCAGACCCCATGCTTGCTCACACGCCCTTCATAGTTCCATGCCTGACTTACCCTTGGCAGGCATGGGACCCAGGCCAGTAGCATTAGCTGAGCATAGCCTGCCAGGGCAAGTAGGTAAAAATGAGCCCAGTGAGCCAGAGCAAAACTCGGGCAAAGGTGCCACTGGCCACAGAGGTTTCTGGCCAGAAAAGTGACATCCCAAAGATCCTGTAACATTATATGCACATGCATATTCCATGATTGAAGTCCTCTTGTTTTAAACAGTGTTCGCCATTTTGCACCCTCACTAAACATCTCCTCTCTTGAATTCCTGACCTCAGGTGATCCACCCACCTCGGCCTCCCAAAGTGCTAGGATTACAGGCGTGAGCCAAAGTGCCCGGCAACATCTCCTCTCTTAAGCTTTCCATTAATAAAAAAATATTTACCCTCACCTTCTACTGGGAATCGTAGTTCCTTGACTCTTTCCATTCAGACTCGACTGCTCTCAAGATCTTGCAGTTTAAATAGAATTAACAAGGGTAACTTGATGTCATTCCTTTCCCTTGCCTTTTCTGTCCAAGGGCGGACTTACTTTGTTAAAACATGATGAACTTATATAGCTTGGGCTCACAGTATGTTTCTATTTGGCAGGTAGTGTGTAGCCTTCACAAGACCTGGCAAAGTATTGAGCACTTAAAGTTGCCTGATGGACTCATTGATTATTTGATGAAATTTACTTCAAGCATTTACTATGGTCAAATTGTAAAACATGACATTTTAGCTAATGTTCACAAGTTATGTGACTCCATATTATCTACAACAAAGGAAATTGAAAATAGATTTTTAAATGTCTACATATAAACTTGCCACTGAATCCAGTGATTTTGAATATTTTATTTTTAGGGTTTTTAGAACATGGATATTTCATGTTTTGCCTGCTAATCACCCCTTTCCTATTTTTTCAACAGATTACCAAAATTGAAAATATTAATCATTTGTGTGAGTTGAGAGTTTTAAATCTCGCCAAAAACTTTTTAAGCCATGTTGATAATCTTAATGGGCTGGATTCACTAACTGAACTTAACCTGCGACACAATCAAATCACTTTTGTGGTGAGTATTGAAATGGAATTGATATATACTTTCTGGCTTTTTTTCAAAGAAATGAAACAAATGTTGTGACATGGCTTTCTGCAAAGTAAGACTCTACGGTTATTTAGGTTTTTTCTGAATTTAAGTTGTGGATGTAATTATTAAGCTTTGTAATATGTTGATTGGGAGGTAGTGAGGTGTTTTCAATTTTAAAGAATAAATATAACATTAGAAACACAATAGAAGTGTTATCACTCAATGAATCATTTGGTGTAAATGAGTCGTAAATCCTTTCCTGTTTTATTATGGATACAGAATTAATAAGAAAGAGGGTTATTTGTGACTGAAAGTTGAGAAATTATTGTACCAAGAGGGAAAAGGCACAGAGAGGAGAGGTTGAGAGTTGTGAAGATACACATAAATACTGTATGCTTCGCAGTTTTTAAAGAGGCAGCTTGGCATAGTGGAAAAAACATTGCATAGGGCATCTGAGGCTCAGTTCTAGTCTTAGCTTCATCTCTGATTAGCTGTGTGACCTTGGGTAAATCATAACTCTCCTGGACTCAGTTCAGCTTTTTCTAAAATGAAGACATTGGACCAATTTGACTCTAGGGTGTTTTTGGTTTGTTGACGCTGAAAAAAGACTTGAAGATGGTAGAGAACTGGCATGTGAACAGGAGGAAAAAGTTTGATTGTGGGGGGCAAAACTATGGAAAGGAGATTCTAAAACTCTGAGATGAACTTGGTCAAATTTATGATTTTGCTGGAAGTCAGCAATTAAATAGAAGTTTGATGCTGAGATATTTTGTATTTGTACATATGTGAAGAGCATTAGAAGTGTAACTGTTCTGCTGTGTCATATGATACAGGTAATGAGGAACATTATTTGCTCTTTTAACAAGTTTCCTTTGTACAAATGCTATAGAAAAACTGCATCAGGTTCTCTCTGGCATCATTTATGCACTTTTAAAGGCACAATATACCTCTTAACTCTTTCAATACATTGAGTTCCCTTGTAAGAATTAAGTGTACTGTAAATGGTACACTTGAAAAGGCTGGAGGACAGATGATACTTTATTTATATGCCTCATCGTAAAGATTGGTTTTATTTTGAACTTTTCCCAGAAAATATGAGTCAGGTAATGCTCATCTCTTCTAGAAGGTTAGGATAATTTTAGAACACTATCCAAGACATGGATTTATTCCAGAACTTCTAAATTCTGTCAAGCCCTTCCCAGATTAGATACAATTCTGGAACACAACTGTTTATTTAAAAGACATTCAGATTGGGTTAACCTGTTATGTTGCTAAATCTCCAAGAACTATTCAGTCAGGACTCAGTTTGTCCTTAGGACCTGGGTCTGGTAAGATTCTGAAAAGCTTTGTTAGAGCAGGAAGCAGGAGTCTGTTGGCCCTAGCATATTCGTGCCTATTTTGGCTTTCATTTGGAAAGTACATAATGTATATTCAGGAGATTGCTTACTGAATTTCCCTTTGAGTATTGGGTTTAATCATTACCGTTATAGTTTAGGCAGCAGTAAACAACTTATGGAAGAGGAAATTTCATTAATTTATAAAAGTTAAAAAACAATAAGTATCATGCATATTAATTATAGTCAATTGTGAAATTTGCTATGTATCAAATTTACCATATCCATAAATTGTGAAATATATGGATAAATAAACTTCGTCTAACTCATTTCTTTATCAAAGCATCTCTTTCTTAAAAGATTCAAGGGACTTTAACATCTGAGGATACTTTTTTTTTTCCATCATTTTTTTCTCCAGGATCAGACACCACACTCATTCTTTTGGCTTTTTTTTTCTTTCATGGTTTTGATTTTCCTCAGTAGCTGGAATTTTTAAATGAAGGGCCATGTTAAGTAGTAGGGTGTCCTGTGCAGTTGAATAGATTTTTTAACCATAAGATCTCACTCTAGTATGATCACTTGATTTGTGTAAGTTCTTGAATCCCACACATTTGTGAACTTCCCTTTAGTGTAAATGAAGGGGAAAAGACAGACTCACTCAGTGATTGCCAAAATAAGAAGACTTTTTAGAAAGACTTTGTTTTCATTTGTGCCAGGTGAAAACTCATTTCTTTTTTCCCTCTGATTCTTTTGTAGAGGTAGTTAATCATCTCTATAGATAAAACACCCACACTTTCCATCCTTCCTTGACAAATACTCTATTTTGTTTGGAGAACAGCTCCTGAGGCTCTAGCTGAGGATTTCTTCAGCCAGCTGGTCTGTACATGTTTATGTTCATGACAGGAGTGGGAGTGGGTGGGTTTGTTGGTATTCCAAAAATAGCTGTTGAGTAGACAGATCTTTAATTATACACCTACTTGATTCAGCACAGTTCACCGCAGTCCATGCTTGCTCAGTGTATGTACTGACCCAGTGTGGAGTAAGATGGCATTCAGTCAGAAAGAATTGCTGCCTTTGAGTGAAACATCTCTCTTGCAGTTCTGAGCTGCAGTTCTCTCTGCTCAGGGCTATCTCCACTAAGATCCCATCAGCTTTTCAGCTGCCTGAAATTCATCAGAAGTGGTGGTCAGTTAATGATAACTCTTTTGTTAGGATTGTCATAAATTTACTCATTTTTGTGTATTTTTATTGCTTCACCCATTGAATCTTGGAAAGGTGAAACAAATGCATTACCTACTTACCATCTTGAACAGAAACTTTCTCTGATGTTTTTGATGTAGAAAAGTTATTGCTTGTTTATTCACCAATATTTATTCACCAATATTTTTAGCTTGTATGACATCTTTCTCTTTTACAAATTATGAAGTGGCTTGTATCCAAATTATGAAGTCATGAAGTATATGAAATTATTAATTATATCCAAGTTATGAAGTGGCTTATATCCAAAAGACAGGCAATAACAAATGATGGCAGGAATGTGGAGAAAAGGGAACCTTGTATACTGTTGATAGGAATGTAAATTTAGTACAACCACTATGGAAAATAGTTTGGAAATAGTTTGGAAACCTCCAAGCTGTTTTCCATAGTGGTTGTACTAATTTACTAATGTACTAATTTACATTCCCACCAACAGTTCATTTGCAACAACATGAATGAACTGGAGATCACGTTAAGCAAAATAAACCAGGCATGAAAAGACAAATGTCACATGTTCTCACTTATTTGTGGGATCTAAAAATTAAATCAATTGAACTCATAGATATAGAGAGTAGGAGGATGGTCATCAGAGGCTGTGAAGGGTAGTAGGGAATTGAGGGGAGGTGGAGATGGTTAATGGGTACAAAAAAAAATAGAAAGAATAAGACCTACTATTTGATAGCAGGATAGGGTGACAATAGTCAATAATAAATTAATTGTATATTTTAAAATAATGTAAATGAATTGTTTGTAATTCAAAGGATAAATACTTGAGAGGATGGATACCCCATTGTCCATGTTGTGCTTATTACACATTGCATGCCTGTATCAAAACATCTTATGTACCCCATAAATACATAGACCTACTATGTACCCACAAACATTTTTTAAAAATAAAAAATTTTAAAGCAAAAAATAAATGAAACTCAAAACAAATCATGAAACATTTCAGATATCCCCCAAATAATAGGAACTAATATTATCAACATTTGTATATGTCTTTTGTTTTATCTGTTTCTTTCTCAAGTTTTGTGTTAGATATTTCATATATTAGTTTTCAGTTTATTAGAAAACTTTAAACTTTTCTAATAAAAGCATTTAAGCCTGTAAATTTCCCTCTAGGAATGACTTCAGCTTCTTCCTGTTAAGTCTTGAAACTTAGTATTTTTTTTATTATTTAGTTCTAAACATTTTCTAAGTTCCATGTTTCATTGTGATTTCTTCTTCAATTCATGTGTTATTTAGAAGTACACTTTAACATTTTGAAATGTATGGATTTTTTATTCTATGGCCATTATTTTCCAATTTAATTGCATTGTGACTAATAAATGTAGAGTATATGTAATTGGTTCTTTGAAGTTTGCTGAGGTTTTTATTTACTTATTTATTGCCTAATATGTGGTTAGTATCTATAGTTGATGCTTACTATCAATATGTTTGTCTGGTATTTGTCAGTGTTTTGAAGCTATGTTTCTAGAAGCATACAAGTTTAAAATTAATATATCTTCTTGGTAATTGTTCTTTTTGTCATTATATATTAACTCTCTTTATTACTAACTCCTTCATTAAGCAAGTATTTTATAAGCATGGGCTAAATGCCAGGCATTGCTCTAGGTAGTCGGGCTATAACAGGACATTAATAATACTTATCACCTTAATGTTTATTTAATGTCAATACCAGGCTTTTCTGGTTATTTTTTCTTGGTATATCTTTTTTATTTCCTAATCTTTTAGGAAAATTTTAAAATTTGATATAATTTCAGACAATGACGTAATAACAGCATAAAGAATTCCCGGAGCAAAATGCACCCGGATTCTCTAAATGATAACATTTTGCTATATCTGCTTTATCTTCTCTCTTGCTTACTTTCCCCTTTCGTCTTTCTCCTTATATCTATCAGTTAATATATACTTTTTTTCAACCATTTAAGAGTAAGTTGCAGGTGTAATGCCTCTTTATTGCCACATACTTCAATGTGTATTTCCTAAAAGCAAGGAATTGTCTTATAACATCAGTACCACTATCAAACTTAGGAAATTAACATTGATATGATGGCATTTATCTAATCTATACATCTCATTTGGATTTTGCCATTTGTCCCAATAGGGTCCTTTATAGCAAAAGAAAATATAAGATCACGCATTGCATTCAATTATTATATCTCCTTAGTATTCTTTAATCTGGAAGAGTCTTTTTTTTTTATTTCATGACATTGACATTTATGAAGAGTATGGCAGGAATATCACAGAAAAGACGCTGAGTTCTTTTCAGTGTATTTCAAGTATGTATTCTTTAAATTCCAACTTTTTTCTTATAAAGAATGCATAATCCCCTTTTTAAACACATAATCTGAGAATCTGTCTTATAACCAGAGACTTTATTATACTAATTGT